GTCGTGTGGGCTGTGGTAGAAGTCTGTCGACTTTTCGGAGGTGCTTGCTGCCTCATCTCCCTGATGACGGAGGCAAAATTATCACTGAAACACATTAAGCTTCTACCAGCCTATAAGGCGCTACAGCCCAGAAGACAGCCATCTTCATATCCTTAGACATAAGCGCCTGAAGTCTTACTAATTGATGTTTAGATTAAGTTACCTTAAAATTCGTTTCTACGGTTCGGTTTAGCTAAATATCCCGCTATTTAATTCACGTTCCCTTTCATATTTCTCGCGCTTTTGGCTTATTTTGTATCCCTTGTCTTATTTGACTTTGCATTTTTAATCGCTCAATAACAGTTTGTGCATTTGGCCTCGTATTTATCTACAATTTCTGTTAAATGACTGTGCGATGGCTGAGTTGTTTTTATCTGTAATGAAATGTGTTACAGTAATAGTTAATTTGTTCCAATTATTGACAGTGAGTGACGCAACAAAGGATCATGACTCTCCTTCCTACATTTCTGCGTCTTGTCGTTAAAGTGAGGTTAGGTTTTTTCATTCAACTGGACGCGTTTGTGATGTTCCGCTTCGTGCTCAAGAGGCCGGAGTTGAATTACATTTAGGAACGCATAGCTTGTTCTCACAATCGCCCCACAAAATAAAAGTGCGAAATAACTGCACAGGAAAATTATTCATGTCATAATGTTCTAAATAAGAAGAATACGGCCAGTCAGCCAGCCATTAACTTGAGGGTGTGAGCTAGCACTGCTGTTGCGCATTCGTGCTTCCACCTTTTGCTGTTACCGCTGCGGAGCGCTTCGGAGCAGTTGGCCGGCTCAATGTGTTCGGAGGAGCGAAGTAGTGAACACGCCCGGCACGCGTAGAAGGGGTCTGATGTCGATTCCAGCGATGCAGAGTACATATTATTTCAAGCATAATTGATTTTATACAGACGTGAATTGTTGACGGTGGTACTCGATCGTATGAGTTGTGTTGACAAAAACAAAGAAGGAATAAATAACCAATACATTTTCTTTGCTGTTGTCAATTAAAGTGGCATTCTCCACCATATTTTCAGTGCAGTGTTTTCAATATGGCGGAGTGCGCAAGATTTTATTTTGACAGTACAAAGTGAATATAATCTGTTTATAGGTCTTGTAGCCCAATCGTCATTGATTTATATGATGAGTTTCCTTACACATGCCAATAAACCGATTTTAAGATTTTATTTTGTGCGTCATAGTTATAAATGTGATTTTATAGCCTTATACGACAGTTTCCCCCCAGAATTTCTTAAATTTTGATCATAACTTCTGCGGTGCGTAGAAAATTTAAAATTTACCAAATTATTCGTGTACATGAATGGTATTATTCGTTAATATAATACGTGTTATGTATTTATTTCCCACTTTTCTGAAATTTTTTTTTAGCAAATGAGTCATATTCTAGGTATAATTTAGATTAGACAGCGACATGAAATTTATGATAGGGCATTGCATTCGTATTTCTGAATATCTCAACCAATGCTTTTTTTTCAATATTTAGTGTAACTACAGTTGTACCTGTGAATTCACATAAAAATGGCGCCATGTTACGCACGTGTCTTCTAGCTCATAACTAAATATGTGTGTGTGTGTGCGTGCGTGCGTGCGTGTGTCACGGTAAGAGGGTGGGAAATGTGCTTGCTTTGTCTCGTTACCTCCCCATGCGTGTGCATACATTAAAGTGGGTGCATCATATGAAATTAAAACGTCAAATACCAAAAAAATACTTTTGGAAATAAAAGTGATCCGTAATGTCTATTTCGCGATAATTAGGCTGTAGAGATATTGACGACTTCGTAAAGGGGGGATCGTAGTTTATATTTCGATACTTAGTTTATGTAATACATTCTACATTTATTATTATAAAGAGTCTCTCGAACCATAAGCATGTTAATATTTTGAAATAAATAATGTTTATCTTAGTTTTGTATTAATCATTGTCGCACCTCTGGAACGTCGATGTACTTAACCAGACTGCACTGCAGAACATCCCAGAAGACAGCCATTTTCATACTCACCGCCATGAGGACTTGAAATCTCACTAATTCGTAAATATAAAATGAAATTATTCTTGAATATTCTTAAAGTGTACCCTCCCCAATAGCGAATGAAAATTTTGGCTAATGTATGTTGTCTTAGATGAAAAAAAATCTTATTATTTTACCGAACATCGTGGTCGAGTAGTTGGCACTCCTGCTTCGGATTCGGGAGTTTTAGAATTCAAATCTCGGTCCGGAGACCGACTGTACTGAGGTTTTCGTGGTTTTATTCAGCCGATCCATGAAAATGCCGAAATCGCACCTTAAACTAGGCCACGACTGCTTCCTTCCACGTTTTATACTTTTTACTATCATCTTATTCGACGCTATATAATATGACCTTCTGAAAGCGTCGTTAAATAAACAATAAATAAATAGATTTATCCTTTTGTACTTTTTACTTTCATTTTGATCCTTTCGAAGAACGCCTACCATATTTCCTGCGGTTTTGCAATTTTTTTCTCTATACTGGAAGAAAATAACTCAAGTAATATATATCTTGGTTCTGTTTACTCTCTACAAGCAAGATAAAGACGGCAATGTATACATAAAGTCCAATGTACACAAATCACTTTCAGCAAAGTGTAACAAAGGCGTACTGAAGAATTTCCGTGATAAACGTATCCATCAATGTGTAATATTGTTTCGCTAACAATATTAAGTGTACGACAGATGCTGCCAAATATTCAAGCTCTTAAGTTTGAACACAACATTAATGTTGCTTGCAATCGTAAATGTAAATGAATTTATGTGCTAGGGGAGATTACTGTTCTCACATCGGGGAGTATGAAGATGACTGTCTTCCGGGATGTTGCTTCGTGTAGTCTGGTTCCTGAAACGTCGTTAAACTTCTCCCAGACTAAATACAGTTATCTTTAATTGCTACGGTGGTTTGGGAAAGGACGGGATAGTAGGTAATTGAGATTAGGTTCTTGGTAAGAAATTTATTTTTTCTGTTGGTTTAATATTCGATATCCAGAAAAAAAACCCTGCTTGATACTGACCTGGATAAAGCAGATACCTGTCTTATTGCAAATTTATATATATAATCCTTTCTTGATTTCCGATAGTTTAATGAAAACCCGTTTAATATTAACCTGTAATATACCAAAACTGTTTAACGTAGAGATGCATATGTAAAACAAGATTTTAACCTAAAATTGTCTGCTAAAATATTAGACTGCTCTTCATATTACAGTCTGTCTGAGCGGAGAATTGACTCAATCTTGAAGCTGTGACGTTATGCTGACTGGTGTCCTAAACACATTTTCCCTTCTAAAAATGTTCCCCACTGTTGGATCTCCTGCATATTTGATGCTATGAGTGTGGTATCAGTTACCTGAATGATAAATTAAATTCTGTATGAACCAAGAAATATTAAAATTACAAGAATGCGACGAAGTAGAAAAGCCGAAACTAATAGAGAACCAGAGTCAGCCGATGTTTCTGTACCGCTTATTAGAACGGACGTGCGTCTGTGCGAATGGGTATTTCTGTGAAAGATCTTGTAAATTCTGTGCTCAGAGAGACGGTTTATCCGTACTGTGATTCGTGAAAATTCTCTCAGTAGGAACGCAAATGGGAAATCATAGGAAACAAAGTGTCAGAGAAATACGATCATTGGTGTATTGTAAGACTGATTAACAAAGGAGACAATGAGAGGAAAGCAAGAGCAAAAGGGAAATGGCGAAAGAATGAAACTGAAAATGTGTGTGTAATTAATATGAATTCCTATTTTTTTTTAATTTGGACTGAAAATGCATGGAGTTCATACTGTGCAATTTTTTTTATCTGTAAATGTCTATGTTAAACGGAAGTCTTTAGTATAAAATAAAATATTTAGATCTCTTAGGATTCCGTTATAAACAGGTTATGCCATATTTGTGACTTAATTTACTGGATCTGAGAAATGTGTCGGATATTTTTCTGTTATCATGTATTTGTTGAGGTTGCTTATATAGTTGAACGTAACTGTTACTTCCCGGCTGAAACAGCATGAATCACCGCCAAGGTTTTCCGAATACGAGTCGATATCCCTCCATAAAAATATTAACATCAACTTGCCAGTCCCTGCCGGGAACCGGGAAGTGACATTTGCGTTCAACTTTATCAGTAAACGCAATGTATTTCGCATAAACACTGCATCTGCTGTTTTTTTTCCTAGGTCAGTATTCGAATGGAATTTATAAAAATCGATGTTGAACTCTTGTGGTTCTCGTTTTGAATCTGCACAACATATCATGGCCTGTAACAGTTCACACTGATGAATTTAAAGTGAAATATATCTAACATTAATTAAACGATTGAGCATATGCATCTGATAGAGGTGAAAGTGAATTGAACTTATCAGAGTGTCAGACGAAATAATTATATATATACACTTCGCACATTTACATTTCAAAGAAAATGCAGTGGAGAAGAAAGCGGCGTGTTCTTTATGTCATCGGTTCTGCTCACCATGCACTGCTCATCAAACAATACCGTGAGTCACATTTTAAAATTAAACTCGTATACCTTACCTCAAAATAAACATTCACCTGTCTAGACCTCTTTGCTGCCATACGGGACTAGTCAGATTCTTCGATATGATATTTCAGCGTCACATTTGACTTTCTGCAAACTCTTAGGTTATTAATAACTTTCGGTTTTAACACTTCTGCTATAGTCGGCGCAGTAGTTCTTGGCCGGTGGAATTTTCAAGGGGAAGGCTAGGAGCGAGTCTCTTTTGCGATAGTATAATGCTGACTGCACCGAGAAATACACTGACCGTGCCACCTCAGGTACACAGACTAGGCCCGTCCGCCAGCTCCGCTGGCTTCTAAATCGGCCAAAAACTGCGCCGACTATACACGAGATATTTCACGTAGCGTCCTGGAAGCACACTTACTGTGTTATAAAACTGTATTTCTGCAATACAGCTTCACATGTACTAGAATAATTGTTTCAATGAATAATAGTAGCAAATATTACGAAAAGTGAAAAGTGTGGTTTAAAAATTTTAGCTTCCGAAGGAACCGGGAGCCAGTTACTGTTCAAATTCGTCTCTCATCCTCTGATAAATGTGTACATTCTAAGTTTAGGCGTTGGTGTGGGAATAATAATAAAATGGATCTTGGATAATTATGGTGTGAGGGTGTGTACTGAATTTTTGAATCCGGTGATGGAAATACGGGTCCCATTGGAGTAATTTTGAAAATTGTGTTCGTGGGTCATTTAGAACCAAAATAAACGTGTAGCATCCAAATAGTCAGCTGCAGGGGGAGAAGTACTCAGAACTTATTGATAAAAGTGTGCTCTTGCACCACTCGCATAGCACCCGGAAAGAATTTTTGTCTGTCTTACGACCTGCAGTTACGACAATGAATTCCAGAAATTTCTTCAACTGTTGTAGAGTAATTCAGTCACAAGCGATGAACGTGCATATGACATTCGTGCGAGCTGCTCCGTGTACTTTTTGATCACAAAATGAGAACTATGTCCGAACCACAAACGACGATTTATTCCCAAGCATACGGCATTTGACGACGTTTCCGTGTGTGTGTTGCAGGTGAAGATGGCTGCAATGGCGTGTGTTCCAACAATGAGGACGAGGCAGATGGAGACAGAGACTCGGCCTCGCCTCTCAACAATTCTTCTGCCGCGACGTCCTGTGCGCCTGCATCTTCACAACAGCGCATGCCCAGAACAAAGCCTTCAAGCACGTCACCTCGCGGCAGCAGCTACAGTTACAGACATCGTTCCTATTACCAACAGCCATGCGACAGCAGCCAGCCACTTGTCACAACGGAGAAGAAAACGTTCAACGAAGGTCTGTGCACAAGCTGTTACGTATTTCAGAATTTCTCTGCGGTCCAGAAGAATTGAGAGGGTCACGCTTACGAGCGTCGCCAGTCTACCCTGACACCCCCCACCCCCCGGTGCGATAAATATAAACAACATTTTAGTCGGAAAATCAAAACGGGGAGGTTACTTGGGGGACCAGAGGCGAAGATGGGAGGATAATATTGAAACGGATCTTATTGAAATAAGGTTTTGGACTGAATTCGTGAGGATCAGGAGTTTACGTAATTGTGTGGACCAAATTTCTTAGACGCTGCTTTAATACGTCATGCTTTAGTTCCTCTTGTTCAGTATGCGCTAAACTTTAGTGGTAATTGTATAGTTCGTGATTAAATTAAATTATTTTGTGAATACGTGTTTTTGTAACACGTGACATGCGTATTTCTTTGCGAACGCACCGTAGTAATGTATACCTAATGCAAAAGTAAGAAGTGTAGAAGAGAAGGGGTAAAGATTACGCTTTTTTAAATAAAGACATTAGGTAGATGTGAGTTGTTGGCGTCTCTCTCCGGCCGTGTGACTCCTAGCGAGAGATTCAATGATAACCATTGCTTAGGATTCGGCTAGGCCCGAAAGACTGTCTCGACACGTTGGCATAGAAAACATTCGTGCCTCTGCCAGGAATCAAACCCCATTCGTTCAGTCGGAGGCCAGTCACTGAGTCATCTCGTCCATAGCAGAGTGTGAGATAGTTTTAAGGGATTTGTATCCAATATTGTAGGACACTGGTTCGAAATCATTCTGGCTTGATTATAATTATCTCTATCTTAATGGATGTTGCAAACTGGAAGAAATTAAAGTTGGGAAGCTTTTGGTAAAAAACAACGTATGACGGCTACTGGCAACGATAAGAAATAAACCTGAGATTTAAATTCTACTGGGGGCGAGTATGCATATGATTGTCTTCTGGGTTGTTGCACCGTGTAGTCTGGTATAAGTGTACCGACGTTTCTGAGGTGGTTTCTGCCTCCATCTTCAGGGAGATGATTATAGGTCTGTATCTTTCCTCGCAAGGATGTAGAGCCAACGGTTATTTCCAATAATTAAAACTGTTTATTCATGTCCTGAAGGTTTACGAACACCTCCATGAAGATAGCTGGCCCCTGTGTTCAATCGAGTGACCTCCGGTGTAGCAGAGCGGACTGGCTTGCCGCCCAAATTACAGCTCTTGGTCATGTGGTCATGACAGGCCGCATAAAAGTGTGGGATGTGCGATTACAGTAGAGGAACCACATCCTAGAAATTTGCCAGATGAAACCGAGCGTCATAGAAACTATTTATTGTGTTAGGCATTGTTCATTGTCTGAGGTATATTTAATAACACACGACATTTCGGAAGTTGTTTGCCTTTCGGTAATCAGGGTCTCTCTGGTGTTGAAGTGGTTAGCGTTACTACCCTAGTATTCAAAATGTTTCGGGTTTGACTGTGGCTGTTGTCAGCAATAACGTTGAAAAGACAGAAATTCGATATCTCATTAGGTAATTTGTAGATAGAAGTGTGGTGACTTTTTTAACGTCGTACCACATACGATGGTAATTGTCAAAAATAGTAGGCCTATTCTTTTAAAGCTTACCGACGTTCTCCCTGATGATGGAAGCAGTAGGTACTTCTGAAACGTTGGTAAACTTCTACCATCTTCATACACTCCGTCGTGAGAACCTGAAATCTTATTGTATTTATCTTATTTTTGCATTTATCAACATGTTGTAACCTAAAACAAGTTCTGCAGTTTGACTGAAATACCAGTGGACCAATATTTTCTGATTAGGATTATTCTGAGTTTCTGGTTAGCTCAGTAAAGTTAGTAGATTCTGCCTGAACAACTGGAACTGAGGAATACTACGATACAGTTCAGGCGAAACAACCAGTAATTTGGTACAATTTCGTACCAAATACTTATCTAATACCTGTCCAACATTACAGCTATATACAACCGTGTTCCGTTCCAAGATGGCGCTAGGAGCACGTTTCACTAACGATTTAATTAGGCAAATAATAATACAATGTTATCAACTGCAACACGATCGTGACCCCCTCGCGCAAACGCGCCTTTTAGATAGCGTGAGCGGAAACACCGTATAGACTCGTCGATGTCTGTCGCATTTTCCCTACGAACTAGGCCACACACATTACTTGCGTCATTATTGTGAGAAACAGCCGCTACACTGGGAATAGTCCATTGCTAAAAACATTCACACACCAACGGCAAGAGAGGTCATTGTTGGTGCACACTGATGTAATTATTGACGTCGGAACAATGGCCTTGGATACCATTGTAGCCTTTATTATTCCTTTCAAGTAAGAATGATTTAAGTTTACATTTTGTTTGAGCCGTGGTTTTGAACGAAAAAACATTCTGATGCCATCACCCGTGTAGCGTGAAGAGGACTTTTGGAATTTTGGTGTACCCCAAAGAGTAGACCTTTCAAATCTTGTTTTAATTAATACCCTTTTATACCATGTAATGAATGGTCAAGGAACTTAAGACAAGAATTTTCGTAACAATGTTATCCCTAATAACCTTCCGTAGTCCAGGCAGAATTGTATGAACGTAACACAACAGAAACAACAAACAGGAGTCAGGACGGTTCTTAAGAGTCAGTGCTGCGTGCCAGCCATTGACATTTAAACCATTCTTCAGACGAAATCGTCAAAAGCAATAGAAGAGGACGTTCAACTCACGAAAGTACATTTCCCCTGATGACACAACGGACCAGAGCGTATCAACCTTTAGTGATAGGTGACATTCTGTAATAGAAATAAGTCGCAGTGCTTCATAAGGATCCGTCGACGTCTGTTAATACATTTGTTGGTCATCCATCGCGCATGCGTAACACGTATTTCAAAAGTTAATATTTTCATAGAAATATATTTCCCCGTACGATAAATTAAGGCTTTATTCCTCATAAATAGAATGTGATAGTTGATTGCTTTTTATATTCTGTTTTTTATAACTTTTGCGAACAAATGTTTGTCAGTTCTTGTTTATTTCTGTCGATCACTTTCACACATTCAGTTCACAGTCCATTCTCTTAAGTCCGTTGATATACCGAAATTCATCAACTTATTTGAATAGAAAGCATATATAAAAATGTTCACTTTGAATAGCCTGGATCGTATTTCATTTAAGAACGCGTACGCACAGACATACTTTTTATTAAGAAATCGTGACACAGTACGGAATTTAAGGTTAATACAGCAAGTTTTCTTTACAGCGTAACCGTGAAACGAAATTTGCCCCAAGGGTCGACGCGGCTTGACGGGCGAGAAACGTCACGAATCCGGGCTCGCAAAGGAACGTGATATGCCGCTAGTTTTACACGTACCTCGAAAGCTTTCACGATTTCCATGTTGGTGCTTGATGCGTATGATAGAAACTTGCCAGGAAGGTAACTTGATAAAGAATTAACGCGATAAAACACATCAAAAGGCTGAATACAGAATAAATCCAAAATTTCTTAGGTACTTAACAAATTAAGAAGGCCACAATGTGTAATTAAAAACCGCTAGTCATAGAAGCCTTTGCAGCGAGTATGAAGACAACTGCCGTGCTGCTTCCATCATCAGGGCGGCGTGTACTCATTGCTCCGATGATGGAGGCAGAAAGTATATCTGAAACGTCGGTAAACTTCTACCAGACTACGTGGCGAAACATTCTAGAATAGTCATCTTCATTCGTAATGTACATTTGGAACAATTCGTGTAGCAATTTTAATGTTAATAAATGCTTAAGCAGTGTTTGTAACACATAGTGTGGACGGCAACGTTAAGGAGTCGGGAAAGGGGCCCCAGAATAGGCCCACATACAACTTTTTTAACTTCCCCGCAGCCCTTTACGTCACAGACTGAAAGAGGCTTGCGTACAGACCACATGATCTTATTCTGTTCTTAGTTTTACCTTTTTTTCGGGCATTATCTCTTGTGTTCCTTAAGTTTTCTTATTTTTGGCCACGATGGCAGGGCCAGTGGGCCGGTGGCCAACTATGCACCCCCTCCCCAGGGCCCCCTTCCCCCCTGACCGTCTGTTCGTGTAGAAGCGAGCACATGACACACACGGCTGTTACGTGATTGAAATTCTCGTGACCGGACTTTAACATATTATTTATAGTGTCGAGTTTAGGATGAACATATTTTTACGCAAGATTATCCATCCATTCATTCACGCCGTGATGGGTTTTATTTAAACCCCGAGTGTTACTAAAATCGTCAGCTAGGCGGTTACTCGATTCTGTTTTGAGGAATTTATATTTACAAATGTTCTATTTAAAATACCGCACTGGTAATAAAATCTTGTTGCGAATACTACAGATTTATATCTTTAAATAGGCTGAAATTTGTGTCTTTCTTGCGTCGTATGCACATGCATGCATTTATTTTCACTAGGAAGTTTCCTTTATCATTAAAATCTCCTTGGTGTTAATGTCTTTTCATGCCATATAGCGTCATGTGTTAGGATGATCAATGAATAGTTAATTTGAAAAGTTATGAAAGACTTGAAAGCAAATTCTAAGGATAGGATAGAATAAAATGTGTAGGCTAAGTTTTAGGGTGAATGCAAATGGCAGGGAAGCAGCTGTTTTTTAACCAGGAAGGGCCAAAAAATATCGGAGAAAAACACCACATCAACCTCTAATACCTTCTTCAGACTCATTCTTAATCATAAATCATGCATATTTATCGTCCTGATGATGGAGGCAGCAAGCACCTCTGAAACTTCCGTAAACTTGTACAGGACTGCACGGCGAAACCTCGCAGAATACAGTCATATTTAGTAAGTTTCTTAGCCTGAGAGCCTCAGTCCTGCACTAGATCAATAAACGCTCATGATGTAAGTTCTTAATAATGTAAATTTTTAAAGCATATGTAATGCGGAGATCTTAAGATAAATACGTTTACTTCACGGGACATGTTTTCGAGTTGGCCATGAAGTGCTAATTGTTTGCTGAAAACGTAATTATAAAATTGTC